TCCGATGTCCGTACGGGGCTGGCGGGTTGGGCAGCTTCCTTAGCGAGTCGCTGTTTTTCGTAATGCATGAAGATGAGGGGTGTTGTCGCCTTCAGGTCAGCTCATGAAATCCAGCGTGTGTCGTGGGGATCGAATTGCTTGAATGTAACTTTGTACTGCATTGGCTTGTTGTCGTGCTTGCGATGAGCGAGGACGTGGTCGACCTCTTGGTGACCATCTATTGATGGGGGGTCGTGTGACCGTCTGCTCGGGAATCTGCTAGTGAGGCTGGAGTATAGACCGCCAGCTTTGAAGCGTGAAATATTGGGTGGACCGTCAGATGCGGGGGAATCTTGATTATGAAAGAGGGACCCGAGGGGTCGTCGCCAACTGCTGAAGTGATCTTCCATGGTCCAAACCACTTAGGGAGGAGCTTGCGGGAGACGTGCTGCTCGAGCGCGAATTCCTCGGAGGTGACCCAGACAAGGTCGCCAGCGTGGATTGGACATGGGATGTGACGCCGATTCGCTTGCTGCTGCATACAGACCTGAGCCTTTTGCATGTTTACGCGGGCTTTGGCCAGCAGTTCCCTGTACTTCCGAGAAGAAGCAGGGGAGCAAGCGGCGTCGATATCGGCAGTCCGTGGAAGCAAAATGTCTGCGAAAATACGGTCTTTCCGTCCACCGTGATGCAACTCGAATGGAGTCACGCCGATCGCCGGGTGCACCGAAGTGTTGTAGGCGAACTCAATGTCGGGATCCAGTCCTTCTAATCCTGGGCGGATGAGTGTGTGGAGCATCATTTGCGCAGTCTGGTGCGCACGTTCCGTTTGCCCATCCGTTTGAGGATGTCGTGCTGAACTCGGTTTCATGCTCGTGCCGGATTCCACCATGAGTGTCGTCCAAAAGGCTGACATGAAACGAGTGTCGCGGTCGCCGACGATGTCTTCCGGAACGCCGTGGCTGCAAAAGCAGCCGGTGTGCAAGAGTCGTGCGAGCTCGGGAGCTGTCGCATGATACTTGCATGGAAGAAATCGAGCGTACTTGCTCAAATGGTCGACGACCGTGAGAATACCATCATGGCCAAGGCGATCGCGAGGGAAAGGACCGGTGACATCCATAGCAATGGAGAGACCTGGTTCCCGAGGAATCGGCAATGGTTTCAGTTCGCCGTACGGGAGCTGATGGTGCCCTTTGTTCCGATGGAAAACTGCACATGATTGAATGTACCGGTTACATCGCTGATGATGTCTGGCCAGTGAAATCGCTGGCGGAGTCGTGCAAGTGTGCGTGCGACGCCAAGGTGTCCCGCCAGCCGCGAATTGTGGTATTCGCGAAGGAGGCGAGTGCGCAAGATGCGGTCTTGGGGAACACGCAACAAGTCCTTGCCTCGTGTATGGAGATCAAGTAGCCGTCGACAATGTGATAATTGCTTGTCGGCGGGTGATCCAATGACAAGTCCGTGTAGAGTGTAAAGAATCTCGGATCCAACTTGTAGCCGTTTACGAAATGTTGTTGCAGGTCCTCGTCGAGGCCGAATGTGGAGTACACCAAGGCGCAAAGATCGGTCCTTCGCGAGAGAGCATCCACTGCCTTGTTCGAGGGGCCTGGAATATGCTTGGAGGTGAAGTCGAACTGGTCACATCCAGCGACTGATCGTGCCACTCACTGTGTCTTGCGTGTTATAATAGGTCAACGAATTGTTGTCCGTTGCCCACGTGAATCGTCGACGCCCGAGGAGAAAGTGACGCCAACGCTTAAGTACAGTGATAAAATCTAGCAGTTCCTTCTTCCTCGCATCATCAAGAGAATTGATGGGCGGCACCTTTTGCCTGAAGTACTCAACTGGATGCCAGCATGTGTCATCATGCTGTTCCAAAACCATGCCAATGTCGTAACCGGAAGCATCCGTAGTCACTTTGGTTGGCAAGGTCGGTTCATAGCTGCTGAAGACGGGAGCTTGAAGCAAAGCCGTCTTCAGCGTATGGAACGTGCGTCGGGCTTCGTCGTTGAACTCGAAGGGCACCAAGGGGGACTGAAGTCGCGACAATGGTGCAGCGATCCGTTGGAAGCTCTTGACGAAGCGCATGTAGTATGATGCTAACCCAAGAAAGGAGCGGACGTCGGTAGTACACGTGGGTTCCGACCAATCTTGAATGGCTTGTACTTTGTCCGCGAGCGGACGAATGCCTTGCGGCATAACGTAATGGCCCAAATGCTCCAGCACTTGCTGGACAAACTCGCACTTGTCGCGGTTCGCCTTGTACTTGGCGATACGGAGCTAAGGTGCTCGTCCAACGACCGACTATAAACCAAGATATCATCAAGGTTAATGAGTACGGTGCGGTCGAGTAGGTTGCGAAATTCCGTCGTAATAGCCGCTTGGAAAGTAGCCGGGGCATTGGTGAGACCGAAAGTCATGACGATCCACTCAAAGTGGCCATACCGTGTCTTGAATGCGGTCTTGTGCCGATGTCTTGGTTGGATCTCGATCTGGTGATATTCGGATTTGAGGTCAAGCTTCGAGAAGTACTTGGTGCCGCCTAGTCGCTCTAGGAGATCATCAATCCGAGGGAGAAGGCTGGCGTTCTTAATCTTTTGTGCGCTAAGTTTCTGATAGTCGATGAGCAAACGAAGGTCCTTGTTCTTCTTCCGGACGAAGAGAATGGGAGCACCGTATGGCGAACAGCTAGGGCGAATCCAGCCCTTGGCCAAGAGGTCGTCTAGTTGTGCCCGAAGCACTTGAAGCTCCTCTTCGCTCATGGGGTAAATACATCCACGCGGAGGTATGGCGCCGTCCTCGAGAGTGATCCCGTGGCGCATGGGCCGATCCGGTACGACTCCAGCGGGAGCTTGGAAGACATCCTTATAGTTGTCCAACAGCTCCATGATACGTGGGTCCGATGTGTCCCGTTTTGGGCTGGTCAACGTGTGGGAGGGCGTGAAGAAAACAAATGCCCATCTCCTCGATGTCGTGCCGACTGATGGATTGGCGAATGCTCGCTGCGAAAACCACGTGACAACCAATCAAAGGATGAGGAAGCAGCATCATACACAGGACTAGTTCGCCATGCCGATCACGAACGTGAACGGTGCATCGGTAAAAGTTCACCGGATGGTCTTCGTTTTGCAGCCACGACATGCCTAAGATCATGTCGAACTTAGTGTCCAAAATGTCGAACGACACGGCCTCGCATGCTAGCGGGGCAAAGTACATGGGCACGGAGTCAACACAGCTGTCGATTGACTTTTGCATGTGACCATCGGCCAATGTGACGTGCGTAGGCTGACTTTTCGTTCGAACGCGCGGGCTAGCCCAGCGCGTGCCATGAAGTCTTGGCTGATGTAGTTGCGAGACGCTCCACAATCGATCAAGGCACTGCAGGTTGCCTTTCCGATCTGAATGCGGATGTAGAGTGCGTCGATATCGACGTACCGTTGCGTCGTGTGCTCGCGGTCGATCTTCGCGAGATAGCTACAAAGGTCCACAACCGCTATTCCACCGTCCGTCGATGGAGGTGGCACTGCAGCGTGCAAGTATTCGCGCAATTGTGCCATGAGGGCATTGCAATGCGGTCTCGACCGTTGATCCGATCAACGGTTCAGATTCGAATCTGAAATTGGCGCCTAAATGTGGCTGCCTTGAAACTTTGCCACTGGTAGGTCCTAGTGTTGGACCAGTACCGGCCTGGCCTCTGTGGCCGTTGGCCTCATCGGCCTCTGGGCCGAACTATGGTCTGAACCGTCGTGACCCCTGGTCCTTAGGCCTAAACTCGCCTAACTACGGAACCGGGCCCTAACTGGGACCCATGTGGTATCAATATGCCACAAGAACATGGCGATGAAGTGTAGAAGCTGCATGGTCACCTCGGGTACGAAACACTGAAGATATGTGAGATGTCAGTGCTCTCCTGACATTTCAGTGCACCGCAGGGCAACTAAATAGGTCACATACGCTGACTCGGTGTGCCTGCACGCTCCCTCCAAAAGACTGCCAGCTATGGGGTGATGAAGTGTAGTAGCTGCATGGTCATCTCGAGTGGGAAACACTGAAGATACGTGAGATCTCAGTGCTCTGCTGACATTGTCAGTGCACCGCTGGGTAACTAATAGGTCACATAGGCCTCCTTGGTGTACCTGCTCAGTCCCTGCAAAAGAGTGCCAGCTATGGTGGGACAGCTATCATCCCCATTCAAAGCTGACTGCTGCCGCTCCTCTATACCACAGCCTAACTTTATCAGTTGGGTCAGTGCTAAGCTTGAATGTCATGGGCTCTGGTGCTTAATGTTAGGAGGAGAGGAATGAAGAACCTCCATGATTCCAGCAGCCTCTACCTCCATCTATGCTGATTCTAGACTCCTCTAAAGCTCAACCTCTCCACCGACCTCGTTCCAGAGCTGCTGAATAACTCCTCATCTGAGGGGGGTCCTGAAAGTCGTTCTGGCCTTACCAGAAGCATGTAGGCCCTTGGTCTGGATCCGAGTTCAACGAGCGAGCGAAGAACCTGCTGGTTGGGGATAGCTGCCTTCGATCTGTGCAATTGAGCTAATGACCTGGTAGACTCTGCACAAACGTAAGATACGATTGGTATGCTGCAAAATCAAATGTGTGAACTGCGTTTGTTATATGCGGCTCATTTCAGTTGTCATTGAAACTGCATTTTTGTATGGATTGAGCAAAAGAAAGCCGGCAGAGGGGGCTGGGCTCACGCACCTGGCTCAGAGCCACGCATCCCCAGTGCTATGTTCACGCTACCAAAGCCCAAACATGACTATGATTATGAAGAAGTTCATGGTCTCGAACTACGACCATAGGGCGTAACCCTATGTCCACCTTCTTGCATCCCTTGTTAGCATGTTCTGGATGTTCACAAATGAGCATATTTTAAGGGGGCATCCTTTGTGCATTCCTTTCACTTAAGGCCTATTGACTGCCATTATGTTGTGGGTGCTGACAACATCAGCTATGTTGTTTTTGGTTATCCTTTCGGTGCGATTCTGTTACTTCGCTTATGTGCTGCAGTTGCACATCATCGGAGCTTTTGATGATTCACATTCATGCATTGAGGACGACAAAGAAGTAATTCTTGTTGATGAGGATGTGGATGGCGATGGTGACGGTGACGACAGTGACAGCAGTGATGATGATGATGAATGGCCCCTGGATGATGCCATGCCCATGAACCGGACTTCCAGTGTCGTGCTTGAGGAGGTTGATGAAGTAGATGAGGAGAGAGTAACAGGAATGGGTGCCACAAGTGATGCTTTTTCAAGATCTGCATGGGAAAGTGGTAGCAGTAGCCATGTCAGGAACATCACATCTGAGGCTGGGGTTGTTTCAACTCTCGCCAGCTGCAGTGCCATTGAGGACGATGGATGTGTGAGCAGAAATGAACAGGGTGAGGCGGGAGCAACGTCTGCAGAGGACAGGAAAGGAAAGAGGATTCTGGATTGGGAGTACGACAGTGGAAGACACAGGCAGATGGACAGAATGGAAGGGCACAAAGAGCATGGGGCCACAGCAGCTGTCGTAAAAGTAAGTGGCGGGGGCAACGACGGTGCTGGTGACGGGTTCCCAGGGCACTCCTGGCCACTTGCAACAGTGTTAATCAACTGCCTTCATCGCTCATCAGTTGTCTTCGAGTTGAGGACAGCTTGCATTCTGCACCTGAACACTTCTGTTGGTGCCAACGGTGCCTCGTTTCCGATTGTCAGAGGATTTGGGGTAAGTACTAAGAAGTGAAGCAGCCCTCTAACGAACCCGGGACATCTGCCCATGAGGTTTGTGATTCCTTCATGTCAAAGATTGTTACCAACTTAAACTTTCCCACTGAGCGGCCCCCCAGAATCTAAACCAGCAGGCTGGCGTCCCTCAATGGAAGGCTTGCATGCTTGCGACCATCTGTATTTTCTTGAGCAGATCTGCTAGCGGAATGCTGCAACACAGCTTATGCTGCTGGCAGACTGCTTCATTCTGTGCTGTCACCCTCTTTGTCTTCCTCTACAGCTGGTATTGCTGCTCGAAGCCTCAAACTTAATTTTGTTATCCTTATTCTTCTGTTCCCCTTCGTTCAATGCTGTCCTGCCTCACCTTTTTCTTGCACCAACTCTCACGTCGATGCTCCTAATTCCTCCAATGCAGTTGATTACACAATGAATGCAGGTTCTTCAAAAACAAATGAAAAAAACGAAAGAGAACCATCTACCCATCATCTGACACCTCATGTTCCAGATCATAAGTGAAAAGGAAAGAGAAAAAAAAAAAATCTGCTAGCACACTGTCCTGCACCTAATTCTCCTGCTGGTTCCCGATCCGATATCTAATGCCCCCGCTCACATAACTGCTCCTTAAAGAACGAGTACATGGACCCTAGCCAAGTTGAGAATTGCGATTGAGCCTCTCCTAAAATTTCGGAGGCTTGGGACAGGGCGTCCGAAGGACCAGTAGAAAAAAGGATGTCCCATGCCATGGGGTGGTAATAGGCCCAGCCTTGAACAAAAAAGAAAATTCCACCCGCGCCCAGATGGGCCCTGTCCTGAGTCCCCTAACTTTTCAGAGAGGCACATTCGAATTCTCCAGATGTAAGGTGGTTTAAACAAAATGCCTACCTTTATCCTCCTTCCTTCCTGCTTCCCCGTCTCGCTTTTTTGATGATGATGTACGCACTGCAGATAACGTCCTCTTCCACCATGTCCTCCTCACCCCCTCTCTTTTCTTCCTTCCCCCTCCCCCTCTTCCTTCTCCTCTCTCCCTCTCCTCCCTCTCCTCCCTTCCCTACTCCCCCTCCCTTTCGTTTGCTTTCACTAGACCTCCTTTTTACTATAACAGCTGGAAACCGGGTTCAGCGTCCCTTACATCCATGATACCCGACTCTCGGATAGGTTACATTTTATTATCAAGGTATGAAAACCATAGTTGCGGCGCACCAGTGCGGAGGGCGGTGCGGGGCGGTGCGCACTGTGCTGTGCGCTGGAATGACAGCGCGCGCACTGTGCGCAGTGCGGTCCGCTGTGCGTGGTGCGCGCGCTGAGGGAGTTGCACCCTGTGCGCGATTAAAAAACAAAAACAAAAAAAGACAGGCCCCAAGAGAGAGAGAGAGAGAGAGAGAGAGAGAGAGAGAGAGAGAGAGAGAGAGAGAGAGAGAGAGAGAGAGAGAGAGAGAGAGAGAGAGAGAGAGAGAGAGAGAGAGAACAAAGGGTATCCTTCACGTCAATTCGAGGGCCCCTGCAGGTACCTCGAATGGCTCCTACGATACATGTGGCGCCATTGAGGGCCACTGCTTCAATGAGAAGGATGGCCTTGTCACGTGTGGGAGAGATGGGGGCAGACCATCAGCATATGCTGTGGATTCGAGTTCAGGGCTGTAGCTCGGAAGTTATGGGTCACCAATTCAGCTAGACCCTGTTCTTGTCTCCACGTGATTCTCAGGGCCTCCCTCCACCACTCACCAAATGTATATAATATTAGTAGAATGAATCTTCTGCTAAAACATGGAACCATACAGCGCCATATGCTATGTCTTTTGTGCATCCCCACTGGACGTATTCGTAAGAAAACAAAAACAAAAAAACGAGAGAGCCACGGGCATCTTCATCCTAACCCATAACTGCCGACATGCAGACCTGAACGCCAATCTTCAGCATATTTTGGTGGTCGGCTGGCCATGGAACACGCAATTTGTGACTTCTGCGAATATTCGTGGGTCAGGTCGTTATTAGGCGACTACCCCTTCTTGCGAATTTACCTGCAGGTCGTTATTAGGCAACTACCCCTTCTTGCAGAAGGGAGCGGGAAGGACGGCTTTCATACCCCGCCTAAAAAAAAAGTTGGAATGAGCCCTATTTTGTGCTTCGCCATTCTGAAACTTTTGGGGGAAGGGCCTGCGGAAATCGAAATTTTGGAAGCTCTTACCCAAAAGAAAAGTTTGGGCCATGGGCGCGGCCGGTTTGCGAGCTTGCGCGGTGAGTTTAACATTTTTGCTGAGTTGGGGGCCCTAAGAAATTACAAAACTCCTACTTTTTTTTTTTTTTTTTGGACCTAATTTGTCAAGCGCGCTGCGCTTTGGTGCGCAAATCCGCGCACCGAGGTGCGTCGCAACTATGATGAAAACCAATACAGTGAATAATAACCCAGCACCAGAATTCTTGATATGAGGCCTTGGTCTCATTCAATTCCTATAATGTGCTGGAAATGAAGGCAGTCCAAGGTCCAAGAACCCAACCCTTTTTTTTTTTTTTTTTTTTTTTTTTTTT